GCTACCGATAGCCTCCCACCGGCCAATACGTTCCCACAGAGAGGGACTCCTTAGGGTGCCGTCGGTCAAACAATGTTGACTGGCCACCCCCAGAGGGAGAGCCTTCTCTGTGGGGGCACCTGCCCTCTGGAATGAATTGCCCCCGGAGATACGGATGATCCCTGACCTACGCGCCTTTCGCTGTGCCCTCAAGACCTTATTGTTTCAACAAGCTGGGCTGGCCTAAACATGAATTTTAATGGTTGTTTTAGTTTTTTAATAAGACTGGGGCCAAATTATTTAATATATTTTTAAATTACTTTTAAATTTTTTGTATATGTGTGTTTTAGTGTTGGCTGTGCACTGCTCTGAGTCCTTCGGGAGAAGGGCGGTATAAAAATTTAAATAATAAATAATAAATAAACCCATGCCTGACTGCCGTTCTCACTGACATGGAGAAGAACTCGGATTCTAGTGATTTTATGGATATGTTCATTTAGGGCTTTTGGCAATAATGAAGAACTAGTTTGCCATTGTTTTTTCTGCAGTATTTGTTAACTTCCCAATCTAGATTACACATGTAGAATTTCCTAATGATCATCCAACCAAGTACTAACCAAATGTAATTCTACTTATATGTGCAAAATTGACCAAAGCCTTGCCTACCGGACCATGCTCCCTACTCCCCTTGTTCCAACTGGCTAGCAGGCAGGGCAAAAATGGCAGCCAGCAGACATACTATTCACATGGCCTCATTCTTCCCTCACATTTTCTTTTTGCAACAAGAAAAAGAAAACAAAAATCAACCACTGTGTGAAGGATCAGCAAAGCGGCTCCTCAAAACAAACATAAAGATAGGAACTGCTGCTTGACTTTGGAAAAGAAGAACCATAAAGACAGGAACTGCTGCTGACTTAGGGAGAGGGAGGTGGATTTGGTGGGAATTCACCTGTGCTGTGGATCCAGAGAGAACACTAAAGAACTATTGGAATTTAATTAGCTTTTTTCTAGAGCTTGCAATAAAATCAATATAGAGAGAGAGCTGTATCCCTAAATTGTTGCCTACAGGATTTATTATAGTAGTATCAGTGGGAATAGCTGTTCCCTGCAAAACACTACTTTGCTATTTTCATTTTCACGTCCATATTCCTTGCTATATCATACAATTTATCTGTAAAGGTTTTCTGTGATTGATTCTAGAACTAAAAGTCTTACAGGCAGTAATTCAAGGGTATAGCTTTTGGATAAGTTAGGTTTATAGCAAAGAGTGGAAAACAGTTAATGAAGAAATCTGACAATTACAGACTGCAAGACACAATCTAATCTCTCCCTCAGAATCTAACTTCAAAATTTATACTTCATTCTCAAGCATAATGGGCTGAGCATATATGACATTTAGGTTGATGCAATAATTTATACCAGTGTATTATGAATAAAAATAATTGGTATGGTCTCAGAGTCTTTGCTTCTAACAGACTGATCTAACCCTTACACTCTGACATTTGCAGATATCTTCCTCTAGCAATAACCAATAAGATAGCATCATATGCATATAAATTATATATACATTATTGACCCCACAATGTCATCAGAAGCATTTCTTGAACTATTTTTTATATTTGTAAATTCATTAAGTAATCAAGGAAATCACATAATCTTACTCTTTACTGATGTTGAACTAGACCCGTACCAATCGGGCTTCAGGCACGGACACAGCATGGAAACGGCATTGGTTGCTCTGGTGAATGATCTCTGGCAGGCCCAGGATGGGGGTTATTCCTCCATCCTGGTCCTACTTGACCTCTCAGCGGCTTTCGATACCACCGACCATGGTATCCTACTGTGACGACTTGGGGGGTTGGGGGTGGGGGGCACTGTTTTGCAGTGGTTCTCCTCCTACCTCTCGGATCACATGCAGTTTGTCTGGGCGGGGGGACAGAGATCCTCCCCGAAGCCCCTCACTTGTGGGGTGCCTCAGGGGTCGGTTCTCTCCCCCTTGCTCTTTAACATCTATATGAAGCCGCTGGGTGAGATCATTCGCAGTTTTGGGGTGAGGTATCAGAGGTATCATCAGTATGCTGATGATACCCAGCTTTACATCTCCACCCCGGACCAACCCAGAGATGCCCTTTCCACGATATCTAAGTGCCTGGAGGTGGTACGGGTCTGGATGGGTAGGAACAGGCTCAGACTCAACCCCTCCAAGACGGAGTGGCTGTGGTTGCCGGCATCTCATGGTCTAGTGGCCCATCACTTTTGATGGGAGGGGAGTTACTTACTCCCTCTGAAAGGGCTCGCAATCTAGGCGTCCTCCTGGATTCGCGGCTGTCCTTAGTGGACCATGTGACAGCCGTGACCAGGGGGGCTTTTGCACAGGTTCACCTGGTGCGCCAGTTACGCCCTTTCCTAGACAGGGATGCCCTCCATACAGTCACCCAAGCTTTTGTTATCTCTCGTTTGGACTACTGCAATGCCCTCTACATGGGGCTGCCCTTGGGGTGTACCCGGAGGTTCCAGCTGATCCAGAATGCGGCCACGTGGGTTATTACAGGAGCTTCCCATTACTCCCGTGTTACACCTCTTCTGCACGAGCTGCACTGGTTACTGGTGGTCCTTCGGATCCGCTTCAAGGTGCTGGTACTTACGTATAAAGCCCTACATGGCATGGGCCTGGGGTATCTGCAAGACCACCTTCTGCCTGCCTCCCATTGCCCTGTGCACTCACATAGGACTGCCCTCCTCCGGGTGACAATGTTGGCTGGTGGCGCCCAGGATGAGGGCGTTCTCTGTGGGCGCACGACCCTCTGGAATGGGTTACCCATGGGGCTCCAGACGGCCCCCGACCTCCGCTCTTTCCGCTGTGACCTGAAGACATGGCTTTTCCAACAAATTTGCTGATCTGATGGGTGATTTTTAATTGGGAGATTTTAATTGATTATTTTAGTAGCTATTTTTATTGTTTTCATCATTTTAATTTCTGTGAGCTGCCCCGAGTCCTTTGGGAGAAGGGCGGCATATAAGTATAATAAATAAATAAATAAACTATTTGCTAAACATTCCATTTATATTCATGCATACATTCATTCTTCTATCATCATTCTTATCACACTCAAAATCCAACTTTAAATTCCATACTAATACAAATTTTCCATAATTCAATAATTGAATAGTCTATTCACCATCATATATTCTCTAAATCAGCAAACATGAATATACTGCATTTATTTTATTTTTTTATTTTTTTAAATTTCTATACCGCCCTACTCCCGAAGGACTCAGGGCGGTGAACAGCCACAGGATAAAACACATAAATACAAAAATTTAAAATAGAATAGAATAAAATATATAATTTAATTTCTTAATGACCTGCCAAAGAACAAAAAAACAAAAACATATCTAATCTGCATATATCTCCTTCCTACACTACTCTTCCCAAATTTTGTCCTTGACATCCATCATAGTCAGAATTCTGTCACTTTCACAGATATACTTATCAAATTAATCTCCTTTAGCTTCAAATGCATTATTGCTATTTATTTGTATAGATCAATTACTGAACTTATTAATGAGTTTTGTTTACCAATGCAATCCAAAAATATTTTAGGTAGTATAAAGACACAACAATAAAAACCACAACAATACAATATTATTAACAATCAGTTATTAACCAAACCCATTCACATGGCACTTTTCCAATTGTGAAGCACACATGTCTTTACACAGACATTAAGTTGCAATGCAAACCACTTACATATTTTACTATTTACATTATGTACAACTACATTCTTACCATCTTCGCAGAATATATTTCTTCCTTTTCATTATTTTTCTTCCATATTACAATTTATAGCATTGAATTCCAATATTCCAGTATATCTCTATCACATAAAAATATCTAAAATATAGTTACAATTATTTGTAACTATATTTTTCTTTTTACGTACATTAAATAATAGCTCCCTCTCATCCAATTTTTTTGCAGAAATCATTCTTGGCTATGCATTTTTTCTCCCCCACAGTGCAATGGAATATTCTATGCCTGGAAATAGGAATGACAATTTGCAAAGTACTGTATTTCAGGGCCAGAGCATTTGTTAAGTTCCTTATCAGACAAATGGGTAACAGAATCTTCTGTGTCAAGACACAGGTACAAACTGGGTCAAAGGGACCAAAGAGGCCCCACCTTTGCAGCTTATTTGATAAATGGATGCTAAAATACCCATAATCAGTTTTCAAGATTCTGCAATCTTTTCTTTTTAATAAATCTGATTGAGACACTGAAAATCTAGCTTTCTTCATTATGAGCAGCTTTAGCAACTTGTTTTCCACTTTGTTATACCACCATGCATCTTTTTATACTTCCTATTAATGTAAGCCCACAGTGTTCTGTGGTACTTTCTAACATTGTCATGGCTATGATCAATTTGAGACTTTAAGATAAAGTTCAATGAGGTTCATCTGCATATCCTGCTAATCATGGTGCAATCTGCTCTTCTAACAATTTTTAGAGGACATTTAAAGTTGATTTTGGCTTCAATCCATCCCCAGCATGGTGGAGGCAACTCAAAATTATGTCTTTAACTGAATTAATTTATTAGTTTAATATCCCACCTTTCAACTAGAACTGAAGATGGTATTCATAATGTTCCTATAACTATTCTCCAAAGCAATTAAACTATAAGTAGTAACAACCTATAAGTTATTGACTTAGTTTACGTATCACCCTACATTATGGTTTGTAAAACAAGCTATCATGATGGCCTACTTTATAAAGCATACTAAGTGAAGGAAGTAAGAAGTAGATTGACTTTCTTGGCTGGATCATAGCTAATACTAGTACACTATTGAAAGATTTGGGGCACTTCCACACTGGCAGTTTTCACTCACTTACTTTGATTGATTGATTGATTGATTGATTGATTGATTCAAGGCTGCATGACTCCAAAAAAACTGAGCAGATAACACTTTTAAAAGAATATATATAAAAAGAAACACATGAATCAGAGGTGGGATTCACTTACCTTCCCTAACGGTTCGCAAATGTGAGCGCACGTGCCACCTCTGCGCATGCGCACAGTCTCCTGCACATGCACAGTAGTCGCGCATTACGTCCGGGTGGGTGGGCGGAGCCTCTTGCAGTCGCCGCTACTGGTTCGCATGATCCGGAGAGAACTGGCTGAATCCCATCACTGGCATGAATGCTCATACACTCTTTGCTGTACTCAGCCATAAAAATCAGACTCAGAATAGCCTAGTCAAATGGTTCCACATAGAAATCTTAAAACTCAAGTTTGAGCCAGCAAACACTTCTCATAAATAACAAGAAATGCAAAAAATAAAAGATATTACTGCCAGATAGCATCATGCTGCCTCCCTGTCTTTACCTTTCCACTTTGATGTTTGCTGCTGAAAGAACAACCAAACAACTGACTATTGCTTGCTAAGGTGCTTGAAGCTTGATGGAAAGACACCTATCACTACAGTAGCTTAAGTGATGACAGCAGAGGAGAGAAACTAAGATGGTCATCCCAGGAGCAAAAGGAGGACATTGGTGAGACATACTGTGTTTCCCCGAAAATAAGACCCCGTCTTATATTTTTTTGAACCCTGAAATAAGTGCTTGGCCTTATTGCCATGCACTCAAAAGCCCAATTGGGCTTATTATCAGGGGATGTCTTATTTTGGGGGAAACAGGGTAACAGTAATAGGCAAAACTGCCTATTCCTGAAGCCTGCAGAGGCCTTACAAAATTTATAATAGAACTTTTGCAACTTGGGAATTTGGGTCAGGTATTATTTGGGCAGAAGTATCTTAAGAATGCATGAAAGGCAATACATAATAACTGGGTGGGAAAGGTCATGCCAATCACAATCTAAGTATCTAATAAGAGCAAGGCTGATTCCAGCCCCTAGCTACTTCATCAGCAGTGATGCATTACAGATCATTTATATGGCACAACCTCTATAACAGGGGTGTCAAACTCACGGCCTGCAGCCCCGATGCATCATGGCCATGGCCATGCCTGGTTTAGCAAAGGGGAAAAAAGTCGCAATATGTCACATGACGATGCCACGACGATGCAAGTTTGACAACCTTGCTCTATAAGAATACCAAAACCTTTACTTAAAACTCAAATAGCTGTCTATGATTTTGAGTTGCCTCCCCCATGCTGGGGATGGATTGAAGCCAAAATCAACTTTAAAGTCTAAAAACAATATGCTTAATTAGACTGAGTTTGTTGTAAATGGAACAAAAGAGACATTTCTGCCATCCAGAAATTACTTGTTTAAGGCTGCTACATCTGGTTAGCAGACACTGAGTTGACCAATATGTAAAGCAGATTTAGAATTTTCTGTATCTCTGCTATTATTTATTGGTAGACCATACTTAGCACCAGATTACTTTCTGAAATATTTTACTTTAACTTTATTTCAGTTGAAACTACATTTTTAAAACAAGCCCTAATACACTCTATTCCTTACAGTAAATTAATTTGATACTGAGAAAATGCATTGTTCCTCGTAATGTTTAATAATTTACTGTAATAACAGCAGAAAACACTTATTGGTTTGCAAAATTCCAAATGACCACCAGTTGACCGTAAAGAGATACAGTACTCTAGTTGTTTGCTGCCCTCTAGTGAACGTTTGGAGTTTTGCAAGTCATGTCTGCTAGTGGTACGGACGGGTGTCTTCATGAAGTCTGTAATCGAATTCGAATCGAGGGGGTCTTTACGGCTTATATAATGCAATAAGTTAAAATTGAATTATGACATCTACCTCGGTTTTATGATAACACAACGTTACGGTTTCTTTGCTACCTTAAAATGGATTTGTTCTTGTTCTTGCTGTCACTTCTTGTCCCTGAATATCAAAACCAAAGATTTTGAACCCAGAAGCTTGGAACTATTGTTGAAATAAAACAAAAGAAAGAAAATGAGAAATGATCTATGATACATATAGGATCCCAGACGGGATTATTTCCTGTCCGTCACTTTCTCGGATCACTTCCGGTGCAGTGTTCAACCCCGCCCCTTTTAGCAATGGCGGTGTCACTGTCGCCAACCATGGCGCTGGCTGGGCAACGAAGTGCGTTGTGAGCACTTTTCTACACTTGAAGCCTTGCCAGCGGGTGCGAAAGGACTCTGGCAGCGCGAAGGGGTTTGGTTGGTTTCTTCTCGCTTTGCCGCGATGGCGCCGGTGCAATTGGAGAGCCATCAGCTGGTCCCGGTGGGCGGTGGGCCCGCTTCGGCTCCGGCCCCACCGCCCCCAGGGACTGCGACCGCGGCAGCTAGTCCTGGATACCGACTCAGCACTCTCATCGATTTTCTGTTGCATCGGACGTATGCCGAGCTCACTGTCCTGGCCGACCTGTGAGTCCTGTATCCCAGCAATAATGTATTCTCCGGCTTTGCTTGCGAAAATCCTTGCTGCTTAGACACTTCTGGTTCTTTTTGGAGGAGGATGGTGATCTATGTTAAGTTAAAGTTATGGAGAAAAAGAGCAGATTGTAGTGGTGCGTAATCTTCCGACTCTGGTAACGAAACTGATTTTCACAATAAAAAGAAATAAAATGAGTTTCGCTGCCTAAGAGACCTAGTCCGTTATGCTATAATGTAAATTTTAGCGTGACAGTAAAATTTTATGTGGTTTATATTATGTGAAGCAATTATTGGGAGATTAGGAATAGGAATTAGAAGCATTTAAATTGCAGATGCCATACTGGGATTATATTTCATCCATTTAAGTTTGTATAAACTTGGTAACAATGTCCTTTTGCATAGTATAAACATTTTAGATAAAATAAATATGTATAAATGTATTTTCTAACGTGATTGGATGCGTGATACATACTATAGGTATTCAACCGAAGATGTGCAGTTTACCTTTTCTTTCAGTTTTATATATTCTGCATAGAGTTTGTCATAAGAAAATGACTCATTTATTGTTGAATCTTTAACAGTTATGCTTATCTGAAAGTATTGTATATGTGTTTATTATTTGTATAATTGAGATTTCTTTTATAAACAAAATGTAGGCTCATAATATATTGGCATTTGCATATATTTTGGAATGTAGGGCAATATACCGAGAGGATACTTTTTGTAGTCTAAAATTTAATATTCTTGCAATCTTTTATGTCATAGTGTTTATTCTTTTTTTTTCTTTTTAAACCAGATTACCAAGAAAAACTGATATGGAAAGGTGAGTAATTATTGTTGGTTGTTGGTTGAGTATGATGGTTGTACAACTCAATGAGAGATAGTTGAACTTTGTTGAGCTATAGAAATATTGCTATAGAGCAATATTTTAATGCAAAGTTTGAAAATCAAAATACATTTGACTGCTTTACACATATGATAGCTTGATTCTGTGGAAATAATCTATTTGCTTACAGTGCAAATCGAAACTACAGTTTTGTATTGCCTGTAGATCATAATGTTGATTTGTGCTTATTCTCTATTTAAAGATTACTATGTTTAAAAAGTTTCTGCAGCTATCAAGGAAAAAATGTACTGATAGATTACTATTTTAAAAGAATCACATTTGATGAAGACTCTGCTGGTTTACAAGAATTTATCTGATGGGTGGCACAAAATATCTTCTTTTTGATAGCAAAATAAATTGCTAGTTTTATTTTCAGGCAGTTTAAGAAGCATTTCATTACAGTAGCTAAATAAGACTTTCCCCCACTCTTTTGCTTCTCTACAACTTTTCTCATAAGCAATATAGAAACAACAGAAACAATTATTTATGTAGCTAGCCAAACATTTGAAAGTTAATGATAGGTAGTCTTCGACTTAAGACCACAATTGAGTCAAACATTTCTGTTGCTAAGCAAGGCAATTGTTAAGTGAGTTTTGTCCTATTTTATGACCTTTCTTGTCATTGCTGTTAAGTGAATCTCTGCAGTTTTTAAGGTAGTAACACTGTTGATAAGTGAATCTGGCTTCCTTGTTGACTTTGCTTGTCAGAAGGTCACAAAATGTAATCACGTGATCCTGGGATACTGCAACCATCAGAAATATGAACTAGTTGTCAAGCATCCAAAATTCTATCATGTGATCATGTGGGTGCTGCAATAGTTGTAAATGTGAAAAATGGTCATAAGTCATTTTTTTCACTGCTGTTATAACTTTGAATGGTGACTAAACGAACTGTTGTAAGTCAAGGACTACTTGTACTAGATATTTGTTCAGTCTCCCATGTTGACTAAGTGCATGTAGTGCTGTTTCTAGATTCCATTTGTACTTACAGTTAAATAAAGGGGTTAATTCTACAGATTGGCAATCTCTTGAGCTAGTATGATGTGCTCTTCCTCTGTCTCTTTCATTTCCCCTGAAGCTATCTATATTAGGAATAAATCTTTCTTACCACCAGTTTATCAGGGTTTTTGGTCCATCTGTCTTGTTTCAGTTTTTTCAAAACAGCCTGCAACAGGCTAATCTTCAGCAGTGTAACATGCACACACCATCTCAAAGTTGCCAGCTATCTTTTCTCCTTTCCAGATGTCCATTTAACTATTTCAAGTTTTACCAATTCCTCCCTCCCCTTTGTCAGGACAGCAGCAATTCCTCCTGTCATTTTATATTCTGTTTTATCTTTAATTGCTACTCTGTTGCTCTCAATTTAAAAAAGCAGTGTGTATGTTTGGGTGACTATGTGAAAAGATGGCAGCAACTATGGCTATAACATGCTATCACACACATAACCATGTTTTTTTTTCTTCCTAACACAAATTTCACAGACTACTACATCAATTTAAGATAGCACATGATAAAAAATATTATTTTAGATTCTATAGTCCGATGTTAATTATAGCTAAGAAAATAGAAAATCCTAACTAAGAAGCATTCACAATTTCAAACTATCATTTTAAGTGGGATTATAGACAGTGGTTTAACATTTGTTTTATTTATTAATCAAATTTCTAGACTGTTGATGTTGAGCAACTCATATGTTGAGTTTAACATATGCAAACCATACAATCAAAATAAAATGCAAAGATAGCATAATCTATAGGGAACATCAGCCAAATTTTCTCCTCCATCAGCAGACAAAACAACAACAGATATGCTAATCCAAGTTTTCCTTGAGAAAAAGTTATATTTATAGTGCTCTTTTAAAGGCTGGTAAGGTGGGGGGGGGGAGCGTCATACAAATTTCATGGGGATGCTATTCCAGAGGGTAGGTGCCATTACAGAGAAGTCTGCTTCCTGTGTCCTATAGGTAGTTCTGAAAGCCCATGTGGATATTTTTCTTTTGCAATTTTGAGAATATTTTTTCTGTTTCTTTCATAATATTTCCTAATTCTGCCCTTAGTGACTCAAGTTCTCTTTTTCAGAATAAGTGCACCACATTTGTTCATTATATTGGTAGTAGATTTTGTCTCTATGCTTTTCAGATTGGATAAGACTTCTCAACACACCTATTTCCTTTAATTTTCTGAGTTTAATTGATAATTAACTGATTATTTGTACCAATAATTACTGGCCTGTACCACAATTTGCATCTGGAAATATCCTGGTTGATTTGGAGTTCACTTCTCTGTCTTGTGTTTTCTACAATGTACTCTACTTGATTTTGATGTCCATGTAGGAAAAAATGTCTTAATATTGAAGCAGCAGTTGGTCAAACTCTCTTAATCTATGTTTTACATTATAAGTAATCCTTGACTTATGGTGGTTATTAAACCCACAATTTTGTTGTAAATTGTGATATTTATAAAGTGGGTCATCATGTGAGCACACCCGATTTACAAGCATTTTTGCAGTGGTTATTAATTGAATGCAGTAAAGTGAATGCCGTGGTTCATAGAAGGACCCGTTGTTCACTATGAGGCAGAAATAAAGGACTGTTTTCAAAAAAATGTTGTAAAACAGTCATGTGACCATGTGATGCTACAAACAGCTGTAAATGAAGGCCAGTTATCAAGTGCCCAAAATGTGGTCACATGACTGTGTGGGGGTGAACAGTGGAATTTAGAATCTAGTTTGTAAGTCCCTTTTTCAGGGTTCATCAGAACTTCAAATGGTCACTAAGCCACCAGTCATAAGTCAACTATCTGCAGTTTACCCAATTCAAATCATGCTGTGATTGGAAATTCCACTATATTTGTACAATTTTTTCTTCACATTTATTTCTTTAGTACTGTAGATCCTTTGCTTTACCTTTTATCATGCCTATTTTGCATAAAAGGATCCCTTGGTCTGAATTTCTCTTCGCTTTTTCATTCAATTGTTATCCCAACTAATTGTTTCTTATTTAGATGAAATTTATTATCTTGCTCATGTTTGGAACATAGTATTTAGTTGGGCAAATTTTCCTTTGTTGCCTTTTGTACTCTGCTTTTCTTTACTATATTCAACCTGTTGTCATTTTTTCTTTAGTTCTTTGCATTTGGAAATTTTTGCTTAGTCTTTAATGATGCCACAATTTTAACCCAGAGTTCTTCAAGCACCTTGTTTATCTAATCCATTTATTAATTATATAGAATATATAATTATAATCCTGTCTTTTGGGGCTGATGATTTATTTAGATAACATCTGAAACATAATCAGTATTTTGTGTTATTTTTTCTGATTAAACACAGATTTTCCATCTTTGCTATGTAATCAATTGGGTGTTGTCAGTCCAATAAGTTGCTTTTTGTGAGTGTTGGATTTCTTGACAGAATACTGTTTTTTGTTTCATTTCCTATAAGACCATTTTCCCTATTTTAGATCCTATTCTACTTAAAACATTAGCATCCCAGTTGATGCTATCAAACGAAATAATAGTTTTAGTGTTATGTTTATATGGTTTTGCAAATTGTCATAGAATTAGAACAGTTAAACTTCCATTTCCTTAGTGTATGTATGTATGTATGTATGTATGTATGTACCATATTTTTCGGAGTATAAGATGCACTTTTCCCCCCCCTAAAAGAGAGTGAAAATTTGGGTGCA